TAGGTGTTTTATTTTTAATAAATTTGCAACAATTTCAATTTTTTTGTGTGCATATTTTCATAATAGTATATTGTGTGTAGAATATAAATAAACCCATAAATAAACCCATTTTGGAAGAAGGCTGAACAAACAAAAAATTTGAAAAAAGTATAGCACTAAGAATACTTTACTAATGCACTGTGTTAAAAAAAAAATACTAATATTGCCATGTAAAATAATATAATTTACATTTTGTTTAAATCTGGATTGAGACACTAAATACATATAAAAGACATTTTTGAGCTTGTCCACTTTCTACCCCACCAATAGGTAGTGAAAAGCACATTTGACTGGACTTCTTTTAGTGTAGACCAGGGGTGCCCAAACTTGGAGCCCTGGAGGGCTGGTGTCCTGTATTGTTTAGCTCCAACTTCCTTCAGCACATCTGTCAGGAAGTTTTTGTAAACCTAAAAAGAGCTTGATTAGCTGGTTCAGGTGTGTTTAATTGGAGTTGAAACTAAAATATGCAGGACACCGGCCCTCCAGGACTAAGTTTGGGCACCCCGCGTGTAGACACTGATTTAGTCATGCAATAATGTTACTGACAGCAAACTTTTGAACAGTAGTGTTTTCATTTGTTAATTTTACAAACTAGTATTCCATAACTTCATATTGCTTGATTATAGGTCTGTAAAAAAATTATAAATTACTTCTGAACCCAGTTAAATTTTTATTTCATATTGATATATTTAACCCCTCCCCAAGCATCTTACAGATGTCTGATTAGATGCCTTTACTTTGACTGCATTGTAGTCTTCCACCATGGCACCACATTGGTGTTTTGTGTTGATGATAAAAACATTTAATCATCATTGATTTAAGATGTCAAAGCAAAAAATCTTGTATGTACCAAGCCCAGCAAACTATTTTGTGTTTAATATATGTCTAATAGACACCTACACGTAGAAAGCTTGGCTAAAACAAAGCTAAACTTGGGCTGTCAGTGAAAATCTAATAGATTTCTTAGAATTGCTTAAAACTAAACTAGTCAACAAATTAGACAGACTTTATATGTGTAGTTATTAATTTTCGTTTATTTGATGATTAGTCTAGTTTTGGACTATTCTTGGACGTCTATTCGATTTTCACTGCCCAAATTTAGCCTTGTTCTAGCCAAGATGACTATGTTTAGACGTCTATTAGACATAGAATGCTTGCTGGGAGCTTTTTGTGTGCTTTCTTAGTCTTCCTCATGTTCACCTTTCAATTTTCATATTTGTGCCTCTCTCCTCTCACCGAAGACCCATGTTGAGCACAGCAGACAAGATGGAGAAAGGTACCCAGGGACACCCCAGCGACGAAAACAAGGACTCCTTTTCCTCCTCTTCTCCAGCGTCCAGCACACCCTCCTCCACCCAGGCCTCCAAAGACACCAAGCCACGCTCCCTCCGCTTCACCTGGAGCATGAAGACCACCTCCTCCATGGAGCCCAATGAAATGATGAAGGAGATCCGGAAGGTCCTGGACTCCAACAGCTGCGAGTACGAGTTGCGCGAACGCTTCATGCTCCTCTGCATGTCGGGAAACCCAGCGCATGACGACTTCGTCCAGTGGGAGATGGAGGTGTGCAAACTACCTCGCCTCTCCCTCAATGGGGTGCGCTTTAAGAGGATCTCCGGGACCTCCATCGCCTTCAAGAACATCGCTTCGAAGATCGCGAACGAGCTAAAACTGTGAGGAAGACGACGGCTTCTGCGGAAGATATTTTGAGCCCATGTTTTGGGAATGAGGAGGCACTGTGAGAAGAGTCGACGGCAGCAATGAAGAGTCTCAAGGCTGTAAAGGGGGAAAAGGTGTAAGACAGGTTCATGGGGGACATTTGTGCATATAGACATTTTTCAGGGGGTTTCTTTTTTGGGGGAGGTGTTCTGTCTTGGTTTGGGTTTTCTGTTCCTTTCTCAGCTCCCCCCCTCGAAAAACTTTGTGTTGTTGTCTTTATTTGTGGCAATTTCGTTCAAATGTTGTGGTTTTTCTTGGAACTCACAATTGTCCTCAATTCAGACGGCGACAAGAGGTTGGTGTTGATAAACTGGAAATGTTTGCCAGTGGTTTTCTTTTTTCTATGAACGTAAGCCAGCTACTGTCTTGGAAACTACCCCACCCCCCATACCCTGGTCCTTATTCCTTTTTCATCCCAAAACACAAACAATGGTAAACCACCACATTACTTGATCTTACTTTCATATCCAGGTTAGCTGTGATGAGCAGAGATTGGCGGTTGAATTGACGCTCTGAATGTACTACACAAAATCACGACCCAAATGGCTAGGCACATTCAGTAGAGCTGTAATTCTGAAAGCTCTGATTGGTTCTGGTCTAGCCAGTGATATGGTAGCTAATCTGTATACTCTGCCCCATTTTACATCACAGTACAGTGTCTTATTTGAGCTGAAATAGAATTGTTGACTTGAACCCTCGGTGCACCGGAGGTGAATCACCTCTCCGCACCCCTACGCCCAGACAATTAGTTTATTTTGTTGTTGTTGTTTGTTTGTTTTTCCTCTACTGCAGGGGTTATATATCAGAAACTAATTAAGGGCCAATTAAGTAATTATTGGTGGATTGTAGTGTAATTAAGAATTGCTGGTTGGATCCAATCTGCTGCACTGGAATGAGTCTGTGTTTCGTTGCCTTTCTCTGGAGAAGATAATTATTAATATTATTATATGAATAAACCAGACGTTGGATGATTTGTGTTCAACTGTTTATGAACATTATTCTTTTTAGTGTACTGTTTTAGTTATTTTTGTTTCATCTTAAAGAAACTTTTAAAGTGCTTTTGTTCTTTAATTGATTTAAAGAGCATGCAATACAAATAAAACTATTTACTTTCTAAACCCTTTCCTTCTGAGAGCATTTGGAAACTTAGTAGTAATTTAAGCTTTTGTTGCTTTATTTTTAGGGTAAGAGTATATTATTACAGAGAATTTTAAGATGATAAATGCATATTTATATGGTAGCAAATGCTTATAATAATAATAATAACAATGTAATCCCATGTTTTTGAACATTTGTAACCTTTATTCTTCATTTATTTCATTTATTTACTAGTCACATAATTCTAGTTGTCAGTGTTGGCCATTTTCATTTAACTTTTTGAATGTATGAAAAGACAACTTATTGTATAAATATGAAATAGGAAAGTAGCATGGCTTTAAGACAAAATTGCACAAAGTCTGTGGCCATATAGTACGCGACAAAACAGCATTTAACAATAGTTTGTCCAAATGTACAGTATGCAAATACACTAACACTATAAGGGCCAACAATCAATATGATTCTGAAGTGTGTATGGGATGTTTGTCCTCAGGTCAAATTACAAGGGGGTTTAGGGGCTATTGACCAACCGTAATTACGCTCGATCCCCCTGAAGTTATTGAAAACATGTATGTGGGGGCTGGGGGTCAGTCTTCTGTCTAAATCAGAGGTGCCCAAACTTTTTCTTATGAAGGGCCAAAACCCAAACTTGATTCAGGGTGGCAGGCTGAAGTTACTGTATAAGTATAAGTGACATATATACATTTCTATTGATTATAATAAGCAAATCAATAAAAAGCAAACTCAAATTATATGAAATAAAAATAAATAAAAAGTTTGATTTGCTTTTTACATTTTTATTGATTTCTTTTACAACTTTTTATTGATTTGCTTATCAATGTCTTGTGTGTTGTCCTCTATCTTCAAGTGACAGCATTTACATTTTTAGAAATCTGATTTATGCACAACATTTATTTTCAGTTTGCTTTTTTGCTCAATGAAAGAAAGAAAATTAAATTAGACATGAAGATCTCTGTAAAAAGGCATTTGGCCCAACCTTTGCCCTCTCTGATGGGATGTCGGGTCAAATCAAAGGTTACCATGAGCCAACTTTGGCCCGCGGGCCCTAGTTTGGGCATCTATAGTCTTAATAGTAAGAGATGGTTTGCTCTGATCAGCATCTTAAATACTAATTTTACTAAATAAATAATAGGTTATATAAATATACAATTGACCACCCTTATAATGGATTTTACCATTGTGAATGCATAAACGCGTCAATTAATCCGACAGACATGGTAAGTGTTCACAAAACACTTGTCTTTTAAAATAGGTGTTTGTTTCTACATATAGCCAAAAGTAAAGTAAAATTAGGTGAATAGTTTGTATAGTTTGTCCTACAGTAAACCCTAAAATAGCTAATCACAGGATATTGTAGGTCAGAATACATAAACTATTCTTATAAATATACTATAAAATGCTATAAATACCTTGCATTTTTACTATAAATGTTATTTAATTTGATTAATTGAAGCACAAAATAACGTTGCTGAAAAAGTTGACCACCCCTGACCGTCAATATGTAATTCACACCCTGTCTGTTCTGTACCATGAGGCCAATCGAGAGGGTTTTGAATGGCAGTGAAGTGATGCAGCTGCTGGTTGATCACGTTGGACATGATTGTTTAATGCGTCATCCGATTAAATTTATACTATACACATTCATTATTTGATTTTTTACCTCCAGCATCCGAAGTACTTAATCAAAATACGCTCTTATGTATATGTAGGTTGTGTGTTGTCCAAATAATTCGACATTTTGCTCTACATTAAGTTCAACAATGAAAGGAAGGGATGAAAGAAGTGACACCGGAAGCAACCTCTGCACATCTGTTGTAGTGATGAATCATTCCGAGTCGGCTAACAAATCTGACTCTGCGAGTCAATATGGTTAAAGATAACTACAAATAAATTCAACTATCACTTCATTATACACACCACAACAGCATGTTAAATGGGCTATTCATGAAATTAATTATGTATCGACGAAATTACGTAAAATATAATCATCGATTACTGAATCGTTTTTAAATGATTCTTCGAAATGAAGTGAGTCAGGTTTTGGGTTCGGCCGTTAGGAGGCGCTCACTCTGACTGCTCGCGGCGCATATGACCCTCCCCCACCCCTCAGACAAGCCGTCGACCCCGCCGTCATCGTATATTGACAGAAAGCGCACCCATGTCTGCGCTATAGCAGCAATTTTGAGGTGAGTTTTAAAAAATTATACCTTTAAATACGTTTAAACAAGATTGGTTTCAAAAGTCGAGTACATTATAAGTACGGCACGAGTGTTTAAATGAGCGCAGTACTGATATCCCCTCGGCTGCGCTTTCTTATCCTATGCAGAGTATTGTTCTCATGTGAACCGGTAAAATCTTAATATAAATGTACTGATTTATTTTAGAATGTAAGATGATTACTTTAACAAATGTTACTGTCCCACAAATGTCTGCAAAGTCTTTCCGATGTATATTTTTTTCAGATACTTCCTTGATCTGAGGCTAACAGCTACAAGCATTAGCATGCTAAGCTTTAGTCATTGTGTGATTGAGATGAGATACTTAGATCAGTGTGACTAAAATGAGATGTTCAGGATATGTAGTAATTTATTTTCGTTGGAAATTGTGCTCGTTTAACATTACAATGTGAAATAATTGAATCAGACAATGCACCGTGTTTGAACTTCATACGTTATAATAACCTGAAAGTGAAACAACGCTGATTATTATTATTAAGCACTTACGCGAGATTCTCATTGGTCAGTCGCGTTTAGTCTTGAACTCTACTGTATCTCAGATCTGACTTGTATTATATGTTTACTTTAGCTCCTCTAAAGTCACTGTTTGTGCATTACTTCATTTGCTCAGTCATGATAGAAAATAAGTTTGTCCAAGTATTAATTGTTAGTTTTTATAATGACTGAACAAATAATGAACAGTGACTTTGATATGATATATTACTGTTTACTCGTTTTACTAAATTGTGGCTCTGCTATTTGTTTACCTGTTGTAACCAAATTAGTCTAAAATAAGATGTTTAATTAGCACACAAAGTGTGGAAGATTGTCGTCTTTGGAACAAATTCCTAATTTGTTTCCACGACTAACAAAGGTTCTGTATAAACAAATATCTATGTTTAATTTTATAAGCTCCCACTGAGTTTTAAGGATCATATTAATATAATAATGTATATTGAAATGTATTATTAAATGCATCAAAGTAAAAACACTGCAGCAGGGTGCAGCACGGTGGCAGCAGGGAAATTGTGGGAGGTTGTATTTCTCTCTTAAACTAAAGTTGATTTGCATATATTTTGCCTGACCATGTGACTGTTTTTATTCCCCTCAGGAAGAAGCTTGTTTGAGACCTTACATGTGCAAATCAACCAAAGACTGATTCCAAAACACACCGCTGTTCTTCTCATTCAAAATGGTGAAGATATTTGTTGGCAATGTAGCTTCAGCGACCACAGAAGATGAGCTCCGTGCTTTATTCGAGAAGTACGGCGCAGTGTCTGACTGTGACATTCTGAAAAATTATGGCTTTGTGCACATGGATGAAGAAGAGGCTGCGCAGAAGGCCGTCTCCGCTTTGCACAAGCACGAGGTCAACGGCTCCCGCATCACTGTTGAGTATGCCACCACCAAGGTACGCAATGCCACCAAGATCTACGTGGGCAATGTCCCCGAAGGCGTTGCCGCTGCCAAAATTAAGGAGCTCTTCCAGCCATTCGGCAAGGTGGTGGAATGCGATATCGTGAAGAATTATGCATTCGTTCACATGCAGAGGGAAAACGAGGCTCTGGATGCCATCGCAAAGCTTAACCACTCCAAAGTGGATGGCCAAAAGATCTTTGTGTCCCTCTCGCGCAGTAATCCATCCAGAAACGGCCGAGGGGAGGACTATTATCCTCCTCCTCCACCTCACTATCCACCCCACCCGCACGACCATCCTCACTTTCTCCCCCCTCGCCCGCCACCCCGTGACTACTATCCGCCTCGTGGCCGAATTCCACCGCCTCCTCCTCTCCCACCGCCACCGCCCCGCTCCTACTATGAGCGTGATCCGTACGAGAGGAGCCTCCGCCATGACCCATACGCCCCTCCATCCCCTCGTTTTTACGATCGGGATCCTTATGACCGGCGCCTTCCGCCTCCTCAACGGCCGGTCTCACCTCCTGTCGCCAGTCGCTATTACCGTGAACGCAGCCCTCTCGGTGGTCGCCGCTCTCTCCTGCCTCCGCCTCCCCCTCCACCACCTCCTGCGGGCTTTGCCCGCAGTTTCGCCCGCAATGGTGCTAGCTCAGCCCCCCCTCCTCCTAGTGCCCCTTCCTCCCACTATCAGCGCTACTCCGTTGGCTCAGGCTTTGATAAGGATGATTATATGGAGGACAAGTACAGCAATGGCTTCGGCCGTAGCTACTAAGCATTGAAGTCTGTCCGTCACTTTTTATTGTGGAGAGCTGAGTAAACTAAGAGGGGCGTACCTTCAGGGAGTTAGGGGTGAATATTTTTTGTAATATTCTGTGATAGTTGTAGCTATTTTAGATAACGGGTCAATCAGCTAATACTGTAATAATAGATTTGCCTCCACCCAATGAAGAAACAGCAAATAGGAAGTTGAATGCATCTGTGTTTCGGAGTTTTATAGCATGTTATGATGTCCTATATTTGCCAGTCTTATCGTTTTTTTGTTTAGTTTAAGCAAATGACATTTTCATTCATTTTACTCTGGCATGTACTTCTAAAAAACTAAAGATTGCTTGAAAATATATATAAATACACATATTTTTTGCATTACATAGAATAGCATAGTCTGTTCTACAGGATATTGGTCGTACTGAATGTTAACCTGTTTATTTCTGTTTGGTTTTTGGAGTATTTAAGTGTTGTCAGAGTCTTTTGCGTTAGTTTATGGGTCTCAAACTGGATTCCTGGAGGGCCGCAGCTATGCACAGTTTTGCTCCAATCCTAATCAAACACAGCTGATCCAACTAATCAAGGTGTTTGAGACTCTTTTGAACAACTTGATTAGTTGGATCAGCTTTTTGATTAGGGTTGGAGCAAAACTGTGCAGAGCTGCGGCCCTCCAGGAATCCAGTTTGAGACCCATGCATTAGTCAATTCATTTTCGAATAATTCGAATTTTTAAAAATTTGTCCCAGTAACCAAATTCTATCAATTTTTTTTTTCATTTATTTCTATAATTTTCTTTTTTATGAAGCTGTTCTCTGGATTACCTAGATGTAGGCAAATTATCTTACTATTGTGTTGTTAGAAGTAATGTTGAGGATGTGAGACCAGTGGGAAGGAACAGAGAGGAAATGGGTAAAGAGGTGGTTGTGGGCGGAGTTGTATGCTAACTGACTGATCAACCAATCACATCCTACCGGCTAACCAATCACACCACATCCACCAGCCGTTCAACGTTCGGATCCGCAGCCGCATCCTAGGAAAAGCTCCACCGGTCAAAGGAAGCGAACGACAACCTGCCGCCTAATAAAATTAAAACCGGCGTTGAATCTGTAGTGCAATTCTTACATTGTATTTCTAGATCTCGTTGTATTCGACAAATAGTTGATTTGCCGACTCCGCAGAAAGTTTTTAAAGACTTCACATTAACAATGGACGTGCTTGTTATTGAAAAATTACTGAACACTCAACAGTTGTTTCCTGTTCTACTTGTACTACTGCTGTTTACCTATTGTTTGCGTACACTTCTGTTTAAACTGTACGTTTGTTAAAAAAAGAAAGAAGCCTGTTTTCTCGACTGTTCACTCGAAACCGCTCTCATTCTCATACTGTCCTCTCGAGCAGGTTCGTTGTTTGTTTTGATTAAAAAACTATGAAAACAGATTCATGTTCTACCAGTCGCTGTCATCTTGCCGCCTGAATAAAATTTCGACTGATTTAGACGCAACGTTTTTCATGTCGAGTCTCTGTAATTTCTACCTCATGTCTCACTCGCTCACGTTATCATTCGTTTAAAACAAATGTCCTTTGACTTGATCACTCATGTGTAATGTAAAGTGCCAAATAGATTCGCATTAAAACTGCACTTTCCGCCTGAACCTTTCATATACAAAAGGCCAGAGGATTTAGTAAATTTCTGTCTTTGTTTAGTTCCACCATGACTCTTGGCCCAGATGAATGAGTGTTTGATACTCCCTTTTTTCCCCAATGACTGTAGCTGCTTTGTGTGTCTCATCAAGATGGGTGAGTTAAAAGTAAAGGTAAGTATCATTTCACCTTGGATTTTGTTGCTTCTTTTATATAGCACGTTACTGTATGTGCTTCGCAGAGCCTTTTTTGATTTGGTTGGGTTTTAGTTTTATTTTCTGATGATATTATTAGAACAGTCGCATACTATTCCTAAATCATCTAATCCTGATTGTCATTGCAGGCGTTTCATGTCTGTCAAATGGTTCAATCAACCTAATTTCTCCTCAACTAATTATTAAAGCAACATTCCACACAAGTGTACACTCTGTAGTCTTGTCTATATTCTGCAAATGGTTTTACATTTAATCTCTTTTGCCAGATTTTATCCCCTTTCCCTAATTTTTCCTCATGATTCTATAAATGTAAAATTGATTCTGAGGTTATACGAGTAGCCTATTGTTGTTATTTCTCAAACATGGTAAAACAACAAAATATTAGGTCTGATAGGTTCGAATCAAGATCACAATCTTTTTTCGATTAATCGTGCAGCCCTAAGCTTCCAGGTTAAGCTTCTTCACTTTGTATAATTACTTTAGGTTCTTCTGTTATTAAATAAGTCTATTGTAGACATTTTCTCAGGTGAAAAACTAAATATTGCTTTAAGCTACACTTGAACTTGAAAATTATCTAATAAACCACTTAACCTCTAAATGAAAGTGCTTCTAATTAAAATCTCTTATTATATGACTGATAAACGGCATTGTCCATTATTGGTATTAACCCATCTATTACTGTTAGGATGCTTTAGCTTTAACATTTAGAAATGAAAGTTAAAAAAAAAACAATACAATAAAATAAAACAAACAAAATCTAATTAGTTCAAGATATAAAAATGTGAACATGCCTTTCAGGGTCATTTTCAGGAAACTAATTATTGTGCCAAGTTTGTCCCTATGATTTAATATAGGTATAATAAGCTTTTGAAATGGGTCACATGTAATGATGACTATTCATCGCCACAATATTTAAATGAGTTGCATCGAAAAATATTTATTTAAATTTAAATATAAAGTTTACAGTAGCTGTACTTTATCCTAGTTTTATTTTGCTATAGAAGTTTTGCATATTACCCTCACAACACAAAGCAAATGATTTATTAAAAATGGTGATATAAAAAACCCCAACATTTTATGTCTGGGTCATTTTGGGCCAGGTATGTATAGAGAAACCCTTACGTGTTAAAATATCTTTTTTTTTTAATTGTCTCAAGTTAGTGTTATTTTTTTACTAAAAGTTTTTTAAAGTACAATACAAAATACTAAATGTTCTTATTTTATTATTGTTTTGAACAATGAGTTAAATTTTAAAGTAATTTAATAAAGTTTACACTAATTTTCAAACTATATTTTCCTTTAAATTTTAGACTGTGGCTTTTGATTATGACTGTTTTTATATATTATCATTTTCCCAGATGTATTATGGGGGTTAACCACGAGTATTTTGACTTAGTCTGTCCTCCTATGGGTCTTAAAATATATGTATGGAAAAATATATGGAATAAAGTTTCATGCAAAGTAGGCATACACAGCACTCATAATACAGCTAGCTGTTTTTTTCTGACAGTGACACAAAAATATTATTAGTTTACTTGGGATATGATATCCTATAACAGTGGATGAACTGACTTATGAAGACAGGGGGTTAAAGGGTTTGAGGGTTCAGAACTACTGTAGACAATTAAATGTGAAATAATAAAAGTGAGAACTGCAGTTTGGTCCAGCTATTGACTGGGTGTCATTTTCTCAAGATTAGACAGTTCTTTCGAATGATAAATGTAATGCAATTGGATTTATTTAGGGTTTAATATGCTTCTTAACTGCTCATTTCCATGTATGTTTTACATATCTGTTGGTGAATAAAGGCATGCCATCATGTTGGCTATTTAAAAAAATACTGTGTCGTGGATTTGTTTACCTCATCATTGCTCTGCTATTTTCTGCGGTCCTGTAATGTTCCCTACCCCATATTCCCTGAACACGCTCACAAAAGAACAACTGACCATACAATGATCACAGCGTCGATAAACGCGCCCTCCGCTGCCCGAAACAAGCCCTGCGCCTGCATCATAGGGAACTGCTCAAGCGGATGTGACGTCAGTGCGCAGTGGAGGAGCACGCGGGATTGAATTAACAATTTGACGTTCCTGTCAACGTTGTACGCTTGTGAGTATAAACCTCAAACTTGCCTAATCACAAAAAAAATGTTTATGTTTTAGTTAATGTCATTAGTTATTATCAAACAAGTAATGTATGTAGTTATAGTAACTTTTGTCAGTTGTAGTTAAGTATACGGTTTGGATTATTGTACTTTCACGAGATCAAAGTTGGTGTTTGAAGGTATGCAAGTTAAATTTAAACTTTATTAAACATGTCCAGGGAGTTTGATCTGATAATTATCTTGGATTGTCTACAATAATCACATTTAAGCTTGTAGCCTATATTAAGACTAGCTTCCTATGGGTAAAGCTAATACCGTAAATGTTTTTGGGTTCCATTTTAAATGGGTGTGCTTCACAATAAAAGGTTGGTGCTTGTCCAATTTTATTTTTTTTTGTCCAATTATTTTTTTTAAATAAGCCGCTGAAGTCAAAAAGCAGGGGCCACCAAACTTTTTCCTAAAAGGCCAGTGTCCTGCAGATTTTAGCTCCAGCCTCATCAAACACACCTGGACTAGTTTATCAAGGTCTTACTAGGTATACTTGAAATATACAGGCAGGCGAGTTAAGGCAAGTTGGAGCTAAACCCTGCAGGGACACCGGCCCTCCAGGACCGGGATTGGTGACCCCTGTTGTAAAGTAATCCAAACAGAAACGAAGCAAATCACAGCCTTACAAACTTTGCTTTGAAGCAAACACGTCTATGAAACTTAGACAAAAAGACAAATGTGGGATGGCATAACAGTTATTTCTTAACATCTTTAATACAGGAAAGAACTACCCAAAAGGAATCTAAAACTATATTCATTTTTCGAACTAATTCAACTGTTATTTTTCTATATTTAAGATATATTCATTCATATATAAATTAATTACTGCAAACAAATGGCTTAAACATAAGTTCATACAAATAGCCCGAGTTCATACCAGATCTGACTTTAACCATGACAAAACAAAAGATCTGTACTTCTAATGATATGATTTAAAAGTCTGTTTGAAATCAAAATTTACAATATTTATTTTGCTGGTGCACATTGTTATTTTTTAGGTGAACAATTAATCCAATGCAAATTAATCCACTTAATTTTTGTTTTTTGTTTTATTAATCTTTATTCAAAGTCTGACATTTTGCTTTGCATTAGAAGTGGCAGTTCTTCTCTGTTGACGTCAGTTTTGACAGCTGTAGCTAGAATATTCTTAAGCATGCCATCTAGCATTACTTTGCTACAAAGACATGTGCAAAGAGAAAGCCCTGCCCCATACTCAATATTCTATTATAATAGGAATTAAATCAACATACTGAAATAAGTCTCAGCAACTTCCAGATCATTAATAATTTGTTGACAGTTTAATTCCCAAAAAGTTCCCAGAAAAAAATGACCTATTTTCTGTTTGTTTTTCTTTTTAGGGCTTAATTGTTTGCAACTCCATACATTATTCTTTTTTCTTCTATTATAATCTGCACTTCTCTGTTGTTCATCACTATACAAAAGAAAATATTTGTATTGCTGTTAATTGTATCAAAATGATAGTACCATCAGTAAGACTGATGTCAGGAACACAGATGCCACTTTTGGGTTTGGGCACATACAAGCTACAGGACCATGAGCAACTAAAACAATCAGTCAGCTGTGCTCTTCAAGCAGGATACCGAGCCTTTGATACAGCTTCAGTCTATGGAAATGAAGCACATCTAGGGCAAGTTCTTAAAGAGCTGTTGCCCAAATACGGCTTAATCCGTGAAGATGTGTTCATCATCAGCAAGCTTGCCCCATCCGACCATGGCCTGAGGGCAAAGGAAGGCTGCCTGAGGAGTCTGGAGCAACTAGACTGTGAATACATTGACCTCTATCTGATTCACTGGCCAGGGATGGAGGGTCTTGACCCAGAGGATTCTCGCCATTCAGAATATCGGGCACAGAGCTGGGCGACTCTAGAGGAGTTTCATGCCAGCGGTCAGTTCAAGGCCATAGGGGTTTCAAATTACACTGCAAAGCACATTAGGGAGCTGCTCGCGAGTTGCCGTGTTCCCCCAGCGATCCTTCAGATAGAATGTCAACCAAAGCTGATCCAGAGGGAACTGAGGGATTTATGCATGGAGACTGGCATTCACTTCCAGGCCTACTCCTCTCTGGGTAAAGGAGCTCTCCTGAGGGAGCCGGAGGTTATGGATATAGTGAGACACTGTGGTCGGACCCCTGCCCAGGTTCTCCTGAGGTGGGCTGTGCAGCAAGGCATCTCAGTACTGCCTCGGTCTTCGCAGCCAAGCAGAGTACTGGAAAATGCACAGGTGTTTGACTTCAAGCTAAATGAGACTGATATGAAGAGACTGGATGACCTGAATTGTGGGACACGCTTTTGTAAACGAGACTTCAGCAGAATAGCTTAAGCCTGAAGATTGTATGACAAATTTGTGTATATCCCTGTCCAAAATAGATGACTAACAGTAATTTTGGCATCCAAATAAAGATTGTCTTTGTAAATAATTAATGAAGTCATGCGTATTATTGAACGGCATAAAAACAAGGTCTAAGGTGCTACTGTCGAACTCAGTACCTGGAGGGCCGCAGCTCTGCACACTTTAGTTCCAACCCTGCTCCAACACACTAAAGCTGCGGTCACATTAGAGTTTGAGCATGCGATATTCTGTTGTGCGGAGCTGTGAAAAGGGGCGGGACTAAACAAGCTTGTTAGACATTTTTAAAAGCGAGCGATTGCTCCATGATTTCAATTTCTGTCCAGAGATATCATGTTTTGATCCTCGATTGTTCTCACGCGGTCAAGTAAATGCGATTTCGCGGGTCGGAGTTCACCAAGATTAAACTTTGCACCGCAGCAACCTGCGAAACGCATGACCCAGCGTTTCCAGGCTGACTCATTCGCGTGCGTATGAATGGAAGTCTATGGGAGGAAAAGCCCAGTGTGACCGCAGCTTAACCTGTAGGTATCAAACAAGCTTGAAGGATTCAATTAGTTGGATCAGGTGTGTTTAATTAGGATTCAAGCTAAACTGTGCAGAGCTGCGGCCCTCCAGAAACTGCCTTTGACACTAGTGGTCTAAGGTGTATTTAGTTTACACCAAATTAGTTATTCATGATGCATTAAATAGTTCTCAAAGTCAACACATTCAACTTCCCTGAGATGTGGTTTGATGTTGTTTCCAAGATGGTGGTGGTTAAAAAGCATAGAAATGAGCTGGGTTGTGTAACTCTTGTATTTGTTGCACAAAGTGAAATAATGATTGTATATAGATGAATGTCTATGTCAGGAGTGCTCTACCCTGTTCCTGGTGATCTACCTTCCTGCAGAGTTCCAACCCTGATCAAACACACCTGAACCAATTAACACCCAAATGGCACTTGATAATTACAGGCAGGTGTGTTTTATATAGGTTGCAACTGAAATCTGGAAAAGATCTGGAAAGAAGATCTCCAGTAACAGGGTTGGTCACCCCAGCTCTACGTTATCACCTCCTTTGCGGTGGTGCGCAATCCTGTTACTGGAGATCTACCTTCTTACAGAGTTCAGCTGCAACCTTGATCAAATGCACCTGTCTAGTTACCAGGTGCTTCTTTAGGTACTACTTAAGCTGCGGTCACACTAGAGTTTGAGAATGCGAAAATCTGTAGTACGGCTCTGCGAAAAGTTGTGGGATTAAACAAGATGATGAGACAATTTATAAAGCAAACAATTGGTCCATCTTTAAAATTTCTGTCCAGAAAGGTCTTGTTTTGATCCTCGATTGGTTGATTGGCAGTCAAGTAATGTGATTTCACAGGTCAAAGTTCACCAAGCTTGAACTTTGCAACGCAGCGAACTGTGAAACTTAACATACAACCTTGCATTTCCAGTCTGATGGATTTGGTGCGTATAAATGGAAGTCTATGCTTTTGATCAGGGTTGGAGCTAAACTGCAGTAGATCTCCAGGAACAGGATCGGGCACCCGTGGTCTAGCCTAAATGTCTGGAACTACATACTATTGACATTACAGTTTATAAGTTCATTGAATGATTAATGGCATTTTTAATTCATTCTTATGGCTTGATTGATTGAGGTTGTAACCCGTTCAAATATTGACCCAATAATAACACCGCCTTCAGCCATAAAATTTTTATTTTGACAACAAAATTATAGAAAAAAGATAAAAACTTGATTGTTTTAAAAAGTATTTAAACAATTCATCCATTACTCAATCTATGTCAACAAGTATAAATATGTACAAAGAGTGTAAAAAAGGAACGGAGCACATAAAGCATCTGCAAGGCTGCATGTACAGAAACGGCACTTGTGTTGTCCATCTGCACATATTTGTATTCCCACAAGTTTGGCAGAATTTAATGTTGTTTTACATACAAGACCAGCAGATGGGCTATAAAAGAGAAAGAAAATCCAATAGCGACAACAGACAACTTTACAATTTAAAAAATATGTACAAGAAAGGCAGTGATGAATTACAAAAGCTATGAAAGTATCAATTAAAATGTTCAATTTTCTGGATGGCATATCCAGCGTAAAAGACAGCAGAACAACTGATTTCATTCACTCTTACTAGTAATTCACCACAACAGTTTGGCATAAACAAACAAACCTGAGATGTAGAATGAACTGAAATTACCCGTATTATTGTTACCGTCACTAACCTGTACTTCATTACCAACTTACTTACTTTACCCAAATTCACAGTCCTTGAAATATATTTACAATTTGCAAACAACCGCTCCAGCCTTTTAGCACAACAAAAACGCACATCTATATATCCATCTATAAAATACATCATATAACACATTTCTTTGCCAAATATTAACTTAATAAATATCAATAAATAATTTTTAATAGAGAATTCATTTTTTAAAATCTGTATTTTAAAAGATTGTCCAATGAATTGTAACTTTTTAGGAGAGATTGTCCATTTTAAGATTGTTAAATTGAAATAACACTGAATTATTTTAATTAAACGTACGTTATTGCAGTGGTAAATTACGATACGACACTTTTACCACTCTCTCAGATTGTTTTTTTTTTTTGCAATAGCTTGAGCACATTGATTACAAAAAGGCCATGATGGTGATCAGACCAGCCTTCATCTGAGAGCAGCTTCTCTCTACTAACTGTTATCCTGGTGCTTAAAGCAGGACTTCTTCATTCTCTGCCCTCTTCTTCTTTGGGACTCCAGAGGAACGAAAACCATCCTCGGTAGGTCTGTTTCTGGCTGTTCGCTCTCTTGACCTCCTAGAAAAAATAAAGCAACTTAATATTTGATATTAATACCATTAGTGAGCAATGAAATTTCATTCTGCGTGTCTTACTCACCCCTTTATCGAGCCATGTGTCGAATTCATCGCTCATTCTCCTCAACTGACGGCCATACTTTTTTGCTTTCCACAGTGCAGCAGGTGCTGATTGAGAACGACCCCTGAATGGAAGTCCATCTCCGTTCTCCTCCACCGATGCTCCATCCTGGGTCTCTGTGTCCTGCCAGCGGCTGACTGTATACACTTGAGATTCCGAATAGAGCCGCACACGCCCTGCAAAAGCATGTGACAGCAAATATTTCTAGGTCAATCTATGATACATCACCCAACACTGACCTATTTATTAGTAAGTGTAGTGTTTTTAAGTTCTCACCTTGAGGAGAAATGTTGGCCGATGTTCGATCCTGATGTTGTCCATGGTTCTTGATTGTCCCTTTCAGATGTGATCTCTCTTTTTCATCCAAGGTGCTGGAATCATCTTGATGGTCATGCGAGGTGTTCTCCATTGTGCTGGTATTAAGAGAGTAGTTAGAGAATATTGACATTGGGATTCAAATAATCAATAACCAGATACATTTTGTATCACATGGTCAAAATGTAGTCAATTAAAAACAAATTACACTACTTAACGATGTTTTCCCCAATACATACCTGTGGATCGAGACGAATTCCAGGACAATAGGTGTGTATGTTCGTCTCCTAGACTCTTATTTGTAGTGGCAACTAGATGTTATTCCGTCTTAACTTCTGTACGATTACGAGTTACTTCTCCAGTTCTCAACGTATATTGATTGCCTCATGGCATGTGACACACCCAAACATCAACAATAGCTGTAATTGCCACTTCATATAACTTTCATATATCTAAGGTTGAGTCACGCGAGTCATCAGAAAACGGCCAGAAATAATGGAAAAATGATCCCGTTTTTCGTGACATTTAGTCGGAGTGATTGTCGTCTCGCCGCAAGCAGTAGCGTGCCAAATTTCCAGTCCGGTTGTTGTTATCACTACGGTGCGTATGATCTCATTTCGGCTCGGATATTGTTGTTGTCCGTCGCCGTTTACAGTAGTGGCCGGCTCTTAGCCAATCAGACGGCGTTCGGCTTCTTCCATCAGCCAATCGGAGCCCGCTGCTAGGGTGTTTTGGGCGCTTGGTGATGTAACGTCACTGTTGCGATAGGGCTTCGCGAGCCTTGGCTGTCCCGTGACTTGTTTACCTCATCCGGGCTCCAGTCTCGCGGAAGCATGTGAAGATACACGGCGCGCGCTTTCGGGACACCGCAAATGTGCAAAATAAACACTTCATTGGATTTCAAAAAAAGCGTCATTTATTTAAGTGTTGCACTCAGCGTGATAAATCAATCTTATCTTGTACTTTTTCTCCTCATCTGGTCAGCTGTGATTTAGTGTTTTTGAAATATCTTTTTTTGTCTTAAATTATCAGCTCTCTAACGAACCAATTTGATGCCAACACTGATAGTTGATAGGTTTGCTTAGGTAACCTGGGCACATTAGGCGCAACTTCACCGATTGAACTGTAGATGGCAGGAGAGATCTGTGTGGATGGGTATATTATGACTCATGCCTGCAGAATATATAGGTTAATAGGACCTGTTAGTGTATAATGTTAGATTCTTTCTTTTTACAGTGTCAAGTGTCTGTACATCTGTACATTTGCTGCTGTACTTTTCTTTTTGTATCTTTTAACAAAGACAACAAAATTAAGAGATAGATTGATGTTTTATGTTATTCCTTATAACAGATGTTCAGATGTTGTTATTACACATGAATGAGCAATTCTTAATCTTAGAGTAGGCCTATGGGTCTTTTAAAACATAAATGCATAGATCTAAATAAGCATTTTGTTGTTTTGTGTGGATAGGGAAAATTGGGAATTCACTTTTCCAAGGTGAATTTACTGTAGAATATTTATAGGAAGAACATAGTTAGAATATGTCTTTATGTTTTGTATAAATTATATTCGGAGTATTTTAATATGTTATATATAGTTTTATAAATTATAAGCGCACACTCACTGGCCACTTTATTAGGTACACATTCCTAATACTGGGTTAGACCCCATTTTGTCTGCAGAACTGACTTAATCCTTCGTAGCATAGAAGGTATGGAAAATTCTCCTCAGAGATTTTGGTCCATAATGACATGACAGCATCACGCAGTTGCTGCAGATTTGTTGGCTGCACATTCATTATGTGAATCTCCCTTTCTACCACATCTCAAAGGTGCTCTTTTGGAGATCTGTTGACTGGGGAGGCCATTTGAGTGAACTTGTTTTCATGTTCAACAAACCAGTCTGAGATGATTCGTGCTTTATGACATGGTGCGTAATCCTGCTGGAAATAGCCATCAGAAGATGGTTACACTGTGGTCACAAAGGGATGGACATGGCTCAGGAAGCTCAGGGATGTAGACATGATGCTCATTTGGTACTAATGGACCCAAAGTGTGCCAAGCAAATATGCCTCATCACACCATCAACCTAAACTGTTGATACAATGCAGGATGGATTCATGCATTTTTGTTGTTAAAACCAAAATCTGACCCTACAATCCAAATGTTGCAGCAGAAATTGAGACTCATCAGACCAGGCAAAATTTTTTCCAATCCTTTATAGTCTCCTTGGTGAGCCTGTGTGAATTGTAGCCTCACTTTCCTCTTCTGACAGGAGTGGCACCTGTTGTGGTTTTCTGCTGCTGTAGCCCATCCGCCTTAAGGTTTAATGTTGTCTGTTCAGAGATGCTCTTCTGCATACTGATTGTAACGAGTGGTTATTTGAGTTACTGTTGCCTTCTATCAGCTCGAACCAGTCTGGCTATTCTCTGACCTCTGGCATCATCAAGGCATTTGCGCCCTCAGAACTGCCACTCACTGGATATTTTGTCTTTTTGACCATTCTCACTAAACCCTAGAGATGGTCATGCATTAAAATCCCTGTAGATCCGCAGTTTCTGAAATACTCAGACCAGCCCGTCTGGCACCAACAACCATGCTGCGGACAAAGTAACTTAAATTACCTTTCTTCCCCATTCTGATGCTCGGTTTAAACTGCAGAAACTGTTAGAAATCACTGCATCATGATTGCAATGCAGTCAAATCTAGTAAGTCCAATAGCTTAAATTAAGCAGCATATCATGCCATATAACAATTTACATCTCTCATTTGAATCAAGATTATGCTGAATATAATTTATCGACATTTTACTCTCTACTCCATGTTGGTGGCAAATTTTAATACACATTTTGGCTTGAAAATAAAAGTTAGACTGAAAGAAAAAAGTTAAAAAGTGCTATTAATGCTTAAGAATTAGCCAAGAGTTTCACCCAAAATCAATCAAATTTAAGATTGTAATTGATTTTTTTTTTGAAAAGAGGAATGGAATTCCTCAACCAATTACTTACAATAAATTTAACTTCAGTTTTTTTTTTTTTTTGTAAACTACCAGTAGAATAATTCAACAAAGCTTTTAAACAATCATTTATCAGCGTATGAAAGATTACATGTTCGTAAATGTTTTCATGGCAACGTTATTAATTAAAGCATAAGTCATCAGAAGAAATTCTGCTACCTAGTTAACAAAATATTCAATAAAACTGTTGTTCACCTTTAGACCACTACTGTTTGCTAAGTGTCATTATTGAATCAGTGTCATGGTCGCCGGTAGAGGGGTCAGAGGAGTGTACACAATTGATTTAGTCTCTGACGTACACGTGTTTTCACACTTTAGCCAAGATAATTAGCATGTTTGATATGTCTATGCAACATTAGTGCCAATTTGATACATTGTCGTCCGGTTTTGGCTGTCAGCCTGCCAGCCACACTCCGGCAAACCTGCACGCGCTGTATACAAAAATGTCCCCTCCCCTCTTTCTGCAGTCCACACCGCTGGAAAAACAAACGCCGATTTTCGCACCCCGTCTTGGTTTTCTGCACAATCCCATTCGCCGAAATTAGAACCAGAGTGCTCATTTCCATATTGCCTTTCCCAACATACTCCGCCCGTCTCCTCCATCCTCATGGCGAGGCTGATGCTGATGCGAGTGTATAGTTAGCATCTTCTCATTCACTCCCTCTGGCTCCACACGTCCACGTGCGGCTCTCGTCAATCTTTTTATACGCTTTCTTTATCTCTTTATTAAATCTGTAAGTCTGTAAAACGCTATTTTTAGCATTCATTCTTTTCTTCTCCGAAAATTCCATTAGAAGCAGGCATTTTTCTAGTGTTTGGAATTATATGAATGAGCTAATTCAGGTACCTTCTTGAAGACGGGACGGGCTTTGTTAAATCAGCTTCGCCTCAAGTCTACAACCCTTTTGGATTGTGCGTGTTTTTATCAGTTGTTTGTATTGTTTGAACTGTCAAATCAAGAACGGCGCCGCTGCACAGCTCGCGCGCATCACCGCTGCTCCATGGAGACATAAGCCGCGCGCGTCGCGCTCATTCACTGTGAATTAAACCCAACTACAGCAAGTCAACAGCCGAGTGTCCACCGGAATCAACACACCTTCATTGTAAGTACCCATTTACTCACTACAACACATCGCAATGCAAGGAATAGGTTTGCGGTTTCATATACAGAAAGAAAGCGAATTGATTTCAACAAACGAGTAATAAGACCGCAGCCTCCATGTTTTCACAATATTTGCTGTCTGTCGATTTTATGAAACGAAACTTCCACGTTCACATATCACGCATTCCTTCAAGAAATAAAATCGATATTCTTAATTTAATACCACATTATTGTTTTCAGGTACAAACTTGCTTGTCAAATTTCTCACAGCCCATACAGGAGCTACCCAACACAATGAACCTCTGTTAACGTACGTCTGTCTGTCAGAGCAGGTAAGATTGATTTTACTCTTGGAGTAATGGGTCGATTTAGTTGGTGTTCGGTACGTATGCAGATCTTAAATGTTTTGTTCTGGACCTGCATAACTAGTAGTACGCGCCACATAGTTTTCATACTGGCTATGAATACTTAGCAGTCACAGTTCTCATGGAAACGCTCTCCTACTCTTCACTACAGAGGCAGCCCACCTGTTTCAGATAAACATAGATTGTGATACGCCAGTATCCTGTGCCATGTAAGCCAGGAAGCCCTCAGCTTCCAGATGCATTGACTTGGGATAAAAAAAAACTCCTATCTGTATAGGAATCTTCTTCAAAGAATTGTGGCATGCAAATATATTTAACTTCTTTGCATTGTGAAGGTTTTTCACTCCCACAGCGATGCCTGAATCTTCTGTATTTTAGACATGCTGAAGACTTTTTAGACTCTGAAGCTTTTTAATTATTTCATGTCTAAGTGACACTTAAGAGCGTTGGGCTTATAACTCTGTTAAGTGCATGGTTGCATTTGATTGAAAAGCTTTTACAGTTTGAAGAACAGATTTTTGGTCACATTTAAAGACCCGTGCTACAGCTTGAGAAATCCCAAGACAATTAATGCTGTTTAATTATTTTAATTATGTTAGCCTGTCAGTCAGAGTGATCTGACAATTAGAGTGACCAAATCGATAGAGCTTACATTGGTTGAAATTTTTTAAATGATGTTGGAAATCACTGCGACTTGACTGCGATGCATCCAGCAGAAGTCTAATAGTCTTTGCCAAGCAATGTATGTCATTCTTTGGAGATTTTCAGCATGTTGTGTTGTTATAGGATGCCGAGTCCACCTGTTCTAAATATAAATATGCAATCTACTATGTTTTTTTTTAATGTTGGTCGAGGTTATAAGTAGGCCCACATGGAATCTGCACGCGCAGAAATCCAGAGATTTTTAGCCAATCATTAAGTCTATTGATTTGCTTGTGTGTACATGTACTTATTCAGTTTTTAAATTATTTTCAGTAATATTAATGACTATCTTCATGATTTATTTACAATACAGTTTGTAAGGTAATATTTTCTGTCTTTTAATAGAGATTTTATATGAGAGACTTGCTTTGTTTACCAAATATGTGGATCTAATTGGATTTGCTTTGTAAACATGAAATAAAAATTAAAGTATCATCTATTAAGTTTGTTATTTTACTCCCAAATTCGTTCTGCATAGATCTATCAGATTTATTTTTACTAAATTCTGCACAAAAATAGCAAGAAATGTCTGCAGATTTTGTGTGGCTCTAGCTATAAGCCAAAAAAAAAAACTATTTGTGTAAATACAAACACTCAAATATCTATTATTTAGCATTTTCTTAGTTCAGAAGTTTTTAACGATAAATGACAATTTGATCTGTAACGTTTTTTATAGATAACTTTTTCAAAAATAGAATTAATTTTTTTATATTATGAAAATGGAGCACCTTTAATAATTAATCAAAATTAAAAGCACTTGTAAGTTTGCAGTGCAGTTTTCAGTTGACTGAAAATAAAAATTCTCTCATCAGTTATTCAGCCTAATACTGTATAGTATTCCATACCTTTATATCTTTCCCATTTTCTTTACAGAATGTGTGTGTATTTATCTCAGAAAAATAAAAGGGAACATTTATTTAACATTTAACTTTTTGAGCAGTATGTTTTTATTATTGTTTTGAGGTTTTTGTTTTTTTCGCTCCACTTTCATAATATAGTCAAATTCTTTTTTTAAAATTCCACTTTATTTGTTTGGAATGACGTTGATTTAGATAACTAAGACAGAATTGTATTTATTTTTTGTATACAATCATTTTATCATATAAGAGAAATTCCATGCAGCGGCATGAATGTGACATTTGCAGTAAAAACTCAAAGCATAAATTCATAGAGAAAGTATGTTAAAGGTAAATTGACACATCTGTTTATATTTCCCAAAACAATGAACCACAGAGTTATGGGATCAGAAAAATATTAATCTGTAAACATTTTTATGCTTTAAATGAGGAAAATAAACATGTGTTAAGGATGTGAAAAAAAATAGTCTGCAAGTTAACAGTATACAGCATACTTTGTAGAAATTCTGTGAATTAAACTGCACAAGCCAAAATAAATAATACTAATCAAAAGGATAAGAGTTGGCTCTCTATAGAATGAAAATTATTGATTTTGTTTTGTTTTACATTTTTTGTATTTATGAGGAAAAAAGCTTTGCTAATATGGATGTGCCATCTCTCCATTATGGATGTGACGGATGTGGAATTGCCACTTGTGTGACTTCTGTAGATCGTATATAATTGTTTGAGAACATTGACAGAGACATTTTTGAGTATTTTTAAAGTACTGTAAAATACAAGCCTACACAAAAAAAACTTAGACAGGGTTTTGCTAGTTTGGTAGAAATGTATTTTTTTCATGGCAAGGTTGACATTTGCATGGAATTGCTCACAAGCAAATATAACAGATTGTCATATTCACCAACAGGCAGTGAAACCTATCTGTTAGACCTGTGCTTGTATGATACACAAAATGCCATATGCCCTCACCAGGGAAATCAATTACGCCTTCAATTTCCTTTGTTATATAATTACAATGCAACAAAACCGACTGTAGGCAAATGATACTCCTACAGCCTGAATTTCAAATCAGCCCTGTCCAATTCCACTTATAGGCTGATGGCATGAAATAGTCTGAAATCTCTATTTTTAAGTCTTGATATTATAGGATATTTGCAATGCCTGTGGTGCATCATGCAATCATTAGTGGCGCATATATCATCCTTTTCTTCTGCTGAAGGCTTGATTTAGTTTGGTTCCCACAATTCATACAGTCTAGTCTGGCTGTTGCTCTCTAGTTGTAAATCTCTTCGTGTTCTCCTTTTGGAGCTCTTGGTTTCACTGGCATTATTTTCCTTTCCCTAATGCCTGGAACCATTACTCACAGCTTGAGCTAATCTTAATGTTTCTGGCGAGCTGAAAATAATCCCGTTCTCGCTATAGGCAGAATTCAGAAAGTGGTTTGTGTCCACACGCTGCTGCTTCTTTCATTATGCGGCGTGTCTGAATATTTGTACATCCTTTGCTCTGAAAGCTCCGGACGACACAAATTATGTCGGCCAAGATTTAGAAGCCCAATTTTGTTACAGGCGAGAGTTTCCATTGGATTGTAAAACCTGCAAGGCTGTCCAGAGCGCTCCGTATGTGGCATAAGAATTATGTGTATAATTGTGTGCAAAACATCCAGAAAATTGGAGGTTTAAATCTTTTCTTGTGCAGCTTTAAAGTTGTGCTTTTATATCGGTACACTTGTGTTTATGTCTGCAGCTCATCTACAAGTGATCCCTTTAGTATCACCCTCCTCAGCGAGAATACAAAGCCCCCAAATGGTGTTCTGCTCAGCTCGACTAGCATTATTAACACTGAGCCAGGAGCCCAGCACTAAAGCCTTCATATTTCACCCCCCGGTCCACTGATAGCCCTTACAAATGGTTAGCACAGTAAAATCCAGCCAAGCGAACCATTAAAATATCTTGCCCTTCTCGGGTCTCTGCGCAATTGAGGTAAGCAAGCTCTGTCAAGCCGGGTTATAGATAATATAAAAATGTTGCCTTAATAAGAGATATTTTTGTCTGTAACATTTCCCCCTGTCCATTCAGAGCTTTTTTAGCTTTCATGCAATGAGGATCATTTGTTTGCCTAAAGCTCTGTTCCAAAATGAGCTACTGTCTGCCTACACACTGATAAAAATAAAGGTTTTTTATTGGCATCCATGAGGAACCTTTAACATCCGTGGAACCTTTCCACAAACAAAAAGTTCTTTATAGTGAATCACAATCGTTGCCTAACGATTTGTTGTCTTAGAGAGAACAGGCTGTAGCTCTCAGAACGCCTGCTATTAGGATCCAATCACAAACGGATGATGATAAATACAGGTGTATAAAGGTCTAAAACATTTCTAGATTGTTCACTTTTTGAGCACTTTTGAAGGTAGCGAAGTGAAAACACATTTAATTGGATTTCCATCATAGTATAATTGCTCATATGGTCAAGTTCATTTAAATAGCCACAAAAGAGCAGCTATTCACCACCTACTCACCTAAATTGTAATTGTTTGGAGAAAGTGAATCAAAACAAGTGATTTAAAGGTGCAGATCTTGCATAATGCTATCTGTTAAGATAACATTTTTCAAACACAGTCACTCCCCTGCCGTCCAAAGCCATTCCTCCTGAATGCACACCTTAAAGATGACATTAGACAACCCACTAGATCATGTCATTCGCCAGTTAGAAAACTTTATAGTACTTTATAATACTACAATTCCGAATGAAAAACAGTATTATATCTAGCACGCTTTCAGTTGCAAGCAAAACTTGTCATAATGTGCAATATTTCATGCATGTAAGGATCGCTGTCTCACTCTCTCACACCTTTTGTCCTAAAGCGACTATGGTGCTTGGTCAACGGGGTGCAGGAATTAAACTTATTACTAAGCCATAGTTGCATGTTATTTCAGACTGAATATTCAAAGTAGCATGGTAAACAATATCCGCTTGTTAAGTGGTGACGTGTTTGTGACGTATGTAATACTGTTTCCGGGTCCAAGCCGCCATTCATTTGAGTGGAGAAATCATTCGTTTATGATCACGTTTTATTCCTATCACACATTAAAGTTAATTTTACATAAAGTCATAGTGTACACAACAATCTCTGGGCTTGCTGCATAACAAATACCAAAAATTTAACAATTTATAAAAAAAATTAATCACTTTCTGGACAGCGGATATTAGGCATGGACATATATATTGTGATCGTGATTTTCGAAAGCATTAAATCGCTTTGTAAACGTTTATTATTACCATTTCATGAGTCTCCCCATTCAGTTGAATAGAGCGCTTGGACCCGGAAGCCGCTTCGCGTGACGTCACACTTAAGCGGATAGGGAGCGTGTCACAGGTTGTCATTGTTCAAAAATAAATCAACGTGAT